CCTCCCATCGTCCTCCCTCCCCTGTCCTCAATACCCCACCCCGCTCTCTACCAGCCTGGGGACAGGTGCCCCGACTCCCCCACCCCTCCACCCCACCTCCCCCAGCTTCAGGGACCAGTGGGCCCATACACAGGCCCCTTTAGGTGGCCCAGGCAGACAGAGGTGGCTGGAAGGATGGCCTCCTTGCCCTAGGGGCTGAAGCAGAGGCAGGCCAAGGGACGGGAGGGCTGGCCTGGGTGGTGGATGGACAAAAGGACCTGCAGACCAAACTGCCAGACTTTCTAACCTCCAGCCTTTGTCTCTGGACTGGAATGGGGCTGGGGCTCTCCCAGCATCTCACCACTTGGAGGCTGCTCCCTGCCCATGGGGCTTCTGGGTGGCCCCTGGGCCTCTTGACTTGAGATTCACCTTCTTGGCCCTTCCCCTGCCCCCATCATTGTGCTGTCTGTTGCATCTCACCCTCCTGCTAGGAGGGGCTGCCTCCATATCTCCTCCCTCACCTGTCCCCCTCCCAGGAGGGATGGAGTCCACCCCAGAGCCTGGAGGCAGGGCCTGGCCCTGCACTGATTTCTCACATGTCCTTGGGGAAAGGGGGAGCAAGAACGGGAAAGGGGGAAGAATCCAGGATACCTGGCCCCCACTTCCCCCTTTCCTGGGGCAGCAACCCTCAACTTCTCCCTGTGCCTCCCCTCCCCCAGGTGCCAAATAGCCATAACCTCTTCCTGAAACTGTTCTAGGGCCGCTCTAGGGTCCAGGTCTCCTGGGAATGCCAGGGGTGTAAGGAGGTCAGCTTAGGGTGTCTGGCTGCACAGACCCTCGTCTCCAGCCAGGGGCACATTTCTTGCAGGAGAGCCAGGCCCTGCCCTGCCCTGCTCAGCCCAGGGCCACACCTGGAAGCCTTGTACTAACATCGCAGAGATTCAGCCTCACCCCACTCCACCCCCACTGTTTTCCACTGTTTTAACTGGAGGGCAAAATTTTACTAATCTTTTTGGAGACCAGGGCTGCCTTAGTGGCAGCCTGCTTTCTAAGTGAAATCGATTCCTTTTCCCCACTTGAACCCCAAATTGGGGCTTGGACCAAGGGAAGTGAGACCCCCCCATAACCCCAGGTCTCTCCACTTTCGGAATCCACCTCATTTTGCCCCTTCCTCATGCCCCAGCCCCACCCTGGGGTTTTTGATCATTTTTTAAAAACACAACCCCTGCCCCGACCGTTTAGGCTTCTATTCGTCCCCTGTAAATAGACCATGCCATTGATCAGTATTTCTTGCCCTCCCCGCCCCATTCCTGCCCCCAGTCGTGCCCCACCCTTGAAAGAGCAGGCTGTCTCGGCTCGCCCAGCCCGCGCACTTCACCTCCACCGCCCGGGCAGATGGGGGCGGGGCTAGGGGCGGGTCCACAGGGCACTTCCGGCTCGGCGGGCCAATGGCCGTCCCTGCCCCGCCCCCCGCAGGACCACGTCTCTGTATATAATATATATATGTATGTATTGTTCCCGGTTTTGTACGGACCATGCCCTCTGTCAGGTTGTCCCCATAAAAGCAGCCCCCAGAGCCTCGCTGCCTGGTTTCTTGATTCGGGGGGAGGGGATGGGGTGCCAGTGCTGCCTCTGACTTTGAAGATCTTATTCACGCCTGGATTCAGCAAATTTGCTCTCCACCACCATTACCCCCATCAGCGCCTACGCTTTATTTTTTCCAGTCCAGGACAGGTTTCTAGGGGGAACTGCACGCCCACTGAACTTCTCTTTTTACAAGATTTCTGATGGAATTTACGGGTTGGGTTATTTGCGGTAAGGTGAACCCTTCCTTCCCCTGAGAAGTCCTCAAATCAGGGTACCCTCTGCCTCCCAATCTGAGCGATCTCCTGTGAAGTAGTTGAAGGAGCAAAGGTTACCTGGGACTGGGAGGTGAAATGTCAACGCAGTTTTCAGGGCTCTAGGGCAGCCTGAGTGGCCATTGGTAGTCCTTGCCCCGTGCTTGGTGCCAGCAGCTCTGCTTGCTAACTCACCAGCTGATCAGCCGAGAGCCGGTATTCTGAGTTCAGATGCCAGGTTTCAGGGACCAACTTTGGTGAAGTGCCAGTGGTGGGGGAGACAGGCCCCCAGGTTATGGATGTCCCCAGCACCAGCCTTTCCTTGTCTGTAAACCTAATTACAAAGCACTTGGATTCCATGATCTGGCTCCCATGGGGAGACATTCCCCTTTGGCTTAAAGAATAGGATTCCCTGTATTAGGTCCTTCAGGGTCATCCAAGATGAGCAGCCTCTCAGAAACTAAACCCTTTAGTTTCTGAGGCAGCAACTACTTTGTGGATGACTCTGTCACATAAGTCTCAAGCCAAATTCTGGCTTCTGATAGCTTCCAACCAAAGATTATAGTTCTTCACTTCAGGGCCAAATAGGACCTTTTTAAGCCTGCCACCACCCTGGGGGTCATCTGGAAGCTTGGGGATGGCGACCATGTCTCTCAAGACATCTCCAAGTGGATCATCCCTGGAATACCCTGGGGTCCCTGGAAATGCTGAGGACAGATCCAGGTGGCTGACTCCCAGGATCAGAGACCACCAAACCATAAGGTCACAGGTCAGGGTTCCATAATTAGCGGTCACAGGAAGTCTCCCCAAGAAGTACAGTGGTTGGGCTTTTTGAGGAGGGAAGCCAGACATGGGGGATGAGGGCTTGTGCTGGTCTTTGATTAAGCATTCAGAGCAGGGTCCTACTGCCTGTCTGTCCCGAGGGCTCACTGGGGTACGTGCACATTTTTCTAAAAGGTGGGCCAAGTTACTGCTCATGTCTGTGTGTTGTGTGGCTTTGGGTATCGTGTGAGGTATGGTGATGGTTTCTTAGGCCTAGGATGTGACTCATCCAGAACACATGTCCATGTTTGAAGCTTTTTGTCTATGGTGATGGGCAGACCTCTGACACTTGTCACCTCAGCTCTGCCCTGTCACCTGCTCAGTTCTTAGGAGCTTGAATGGGTGTGACACAACCCCAACATTTGCCATAGGGCAGGGAAATCAGATGAGGGGGCTTCTCAACTCTCAGAAGCTTAGGTATCACTGGAATAGGGGCTTCTCTAAGGTCCTTTGGTCTGACAGACACCCACAGAACCTGCCCTGGAGCACTCACATTTCATACCCATTCCTTTGGGGTCTACAGAAATCTTACCAGATACCTTACAAGCCACATCCTTACCAGATACCTTACAAGCCACATCCTCTTTTTTAAAAAACCAGACATAGTCCCAACTGGATGTCACCCAGAGACCTGAAAATTCACACAGATCTTGGACCGTCATTCCTAAAGGTTATTAGTTCTGTCCTCATTTATAGTCTGGAGACCATCTTGGCTTCAATGTGCTATCTCCCTCGTTTCTTTAGAGACCTGGGACTTCAGAGACTCCACCAGGGAGCTTAATGTCTATACTGCATTCTCCCCCCTCAGCTCTGAGCCCCCACAACCAGCCTTATACCTTGCTTTAGAGCAAACTACTCTCATTCTTCTAAGTCTCCACTTTCTTAAAATGGGGGAAATAGAAACAACTAACTCCTAGCTTTATTATGAGGGTGATACTGAATAAATCTAACGTGCATAGTACAGTGCCTGGCATCTCCTAAACCACAGAAGTATGGTAGTTAGTTGTTGATTATTACATTATCTCCTGCAGCTGGCCTGCCACCACCTCCAGCTGACCAGGTCCAAGTCTGATCTCATCCCATCCCTGCCTGCTCCACCTCCGGAGCTCCAGACTTCAAGCCAAGACCTGCAATCATCCTAGACCCCTCCCTCCTCAGCATCCAGCTGTCCCCAAGTCCTGTCAATCTCTTCAGTTCTACTTCCTGAGTCCTTTGCAACTTGATTTTAACCTTCATGCCCAATGCCATCTTCAGCCATATGAGGGGTCTCCCTGCCTTCAAGGGGCCCTCTCCAGGCCACTGGCCACAGAGGAATCTAGGGGTTCTTCCTAAACCTGGAATCTGAGCCTCCCCTCCTGATAACACGCCCTCCTCCCCTCATGGCACTTAGGCTAAAATGCAAGCACTCCCTCCACCCACACACCAGAGCAGGACACACACACTCAACTTCCTCTCTTGCCCACTCACCCCAAGGTCCCTCTAGCACCTCTTCCCCGCCTGGGCTTGCAGGAGTAGTCAACCCATCACCTCCACCAGGAAACCTCCAGGATCTTCTCCACTCCATCACCCGGCCCCCAGCAGGGGCCAGAAGCCTCTCCCCGCGCAGAAACCTCCTCGTGAACCCGGTCTCCCGCCCCGGGCTGGGAGGACCTTCCACTGGTCTGGCCTCCGACCACACCTGGGGCCCGACAGCCTGGCCGGGGTCAGTTCTGGTCCCCGAGGTGCCCGCCTGGGCACATCCGCCTGCGGGGCTCACGTCTACTGACTGGGCGCCTCGGGGGCGCGTGGACCTCGGCGGTGGCGGAAGCCCCATGGGTCCAGAGGCGGGGCTGCCTCTCGGGGCTCCCTCCCACCCGGACTCCCGCGGCCGAGGAAGTGGCGTTAACTCAGAATCCCCGGTCCGGTAGCGGCGGGGG